ACCCACCGCCAACTCTTGGGCTACTCTTTTACCAACGAATAGTGGGATTGACCGTCACATTATAACGCCCCCACGGCTGAAAGGACGAGCATGTTTGGTGTGACGGGGATTCGAACCCGCGACCCTTGTTTGTAACATCCTTTCAAACTCAGCCTTCTAATTTCTGCTAATTGTCACCTTTAAGCAACTAAGATTTAATTTTCATTCGATATATAAAAATTAATTTCCTCCTTTTCATATACTTATTTGTCAAATGTTATCTTTTTAGAAAATTATATTGAGCATTAAATTCCTATTCTGGTTTGCATACGAACAGCGTGACTGACTAAAATAATATGAGCAAAGTTAACACTTAGTGATTCTTAATTTTTTTTAATTATGGTTTTAAATTGTAAGGTTGATTTCAATTCAATAAACCTGGTTGACAATAAAATATCATAAAGCAATTATTAATGAAATATTAGGTTGATGATGTGTGGGTTATCTTAAAAACTATAGTATTTAGCACAACTGTAAAATATTTCTGTAAAAAAAATTATCTACTTAAAAAAAATGTTTTAGGGTAGGGACTTCGAAAAAAGAAAAGAACCATGATTTTTTACGTTATCTTATACACATTCTGGAGTTGTCTAAATTCTACATTTTAGAGGGATGGGCGTGGCCCATTAGTTAGCTTGCCTGGTCTGTGGATCTGAAAAAATTTATAGTTCTCGTCTTGTTGCCAACAAAAAAAAAAAAAAAGAAGAAGAAGAAAAAAAAAAACATGTTCCTCTCTTCAAGGCCGTGAATGTGTTACGGTCACATCTTACTATTCGGTCATACACGCTTAGTTCAATATTGTTGGTTGGTGTTGTTGACTAGCTGCCTTTCTTCTAGTAATATCTATTCAAATAAGAAACATATATGCGTAGATTGCCCTTTGTGTAACTTTGTGCTAAAATTCTAAAACAAACAAGTCTTTATTTTAGCAAACGCAACGTTTCTTCGAAATATTTAGGTTCGGCTTCAAAAAGCTGAACAGTCTATACGAAACCGTTTTGAGTGGAAACTAAAAATATAAGAACAGCCAAAGAAAAAAAATTAGTAAATAATATTTGTCATAAAAGAAGATCGGATGTAACTGTTATAATAATATTTGAGTCAAGTACTTTCTAAGATTAGTTATTTTGCAATAAAGCCAAAAACAGTGCGAGCTTAAGCCAAAGTGTAAGAACCTCCGAGTGGTAAAGTCGATGAAGATTATACGCTCGATTTCATACAGAAAAGGTCGGTTATTCCCATTTCCAAACAAGCGTAAAAAATATACTACGCCTTCTAGTCTTTTTTTTATTAATAGTATTACACGCGTATACTGACAAGTAGGCTTCACATCTAATCTCTGTATTAAGATGTAGCAGGTAATTTTGTTGAGACTTTGTTTTGGTGCAAAGCCACATTGAGCTATCTGTGGTATTCACTGCAGGGAATCTAACTCCGAATTTTAGCGTTGTAAAAGTGTAAACTGACCGTTGATTCAACGGTGAACATTTATTAAAATATTGGTAATATTTACTTGAATGGATAATAACCCTATAACCCGAGCGCTTTCGAAAGGTGGACTTTTCTTCTTCAGGGGCAAACTGCTTTGAATACCCTTAATTCTTTGGTCTTTATCATTTTCTGACATCTTATTTGTTTGCAAAGGTTTGTAATTACGTTGAACTATTTACAATCTCAATAGATTTAAATTAAATAGGTTTTAAACAATGAGAAAGCGTTCATTGATTTAGTTCTTATATTCGAGCAGAATCATATCGTGCATAAATAAAGATAGGAATATACAACAGAACTATGTATTGAAAATAACAATTTCATAAGATCAAAGACTAGAAAACATATCGATCGATCACATATTCTAAGAAAGATAATTGTTTACTTACCTTTACAGAAGAATTTGGATACAACAGACACGAAGAATATAATTAAAGACTGGATACAAAGATATCCTAAATCCATTTCACCACCCTGTTTATAAAAATTGAAAAAACTCAATATTACCAATGCTATATATATATATATATATATTCTAAGTATATGTGTGTGTGTGTGTGTGTGTGTATGTATATATAAGGTAAGCATAAACATTATCTAAACAGTTAGTATTTACATCAAAAAGGAAGGACTGTGTTACAAACAGCAAGACCAAACGTACGATGAAATATAACATATTTATAATTTAAAACAAGTCTTAACCAAAACGCTACAGAACAAAACAAAGTAACCAGGGCACAGGCTGTAATGTGGGGTGTAAGATGTATCCTGGTTTTGGGAGGTGACTTAAGAAGTAGAACCCACATAGTAGTGGGGATACACCGTCTATCAGTCTTAACCTCCATTCACACAGCCTCAAACGTGAATAAAAAAATAATAAAATAAAAATAAAACAAGATAACAGAGTAAGCTCACAACGTGCCACATCTATATCTCTCTTCACTGTCTGCAGACGGTTGTGGGAAGATGGCTGCTCTCAGAAGGAAAGTGAAAAATGAATAAGAAAAACGAGGAAGAAAAAAAGGCTTACCATTGGGGTTGGTGAGTAAGGAAACCTTACCTCCTGAAGTTTGCATTGCAGCCCTCATTATGGTAGTAAAATCTCAAATTAATAAGGTAACAGAATTATGCAGGAATAAAATCCGTACTAAATTGTCTATAAACTAGTATGGCACCCATCCTCCACCTATAAAGTCCACTGTAACTACTAATTTTGAGATACTCTTCTGCCCTTTGTAAGAGCTCGTGTGTCCGTGCATGTTAATGATGTTATATATTTTCATGC